CTTTGGGTCAAAAAAGCAGTTCTGTCAGTTTACAAATATTGAGGGAGAATTCAGTTTAATTTGAGGAATACTAATGACAAAGTGATGACTTTAATTTCTTAAAACATCTTTAAGTGGTTTTCACTGTACCTGCACCCCTAAGAAGAGTGTCCATTTTCATAGGCGATTCCTCATTAGAATCAGAGCCCCTGCTAGACTGGGTGGGGTGAGGCAGGCCAGGTGGGAGGATCACTTGAGTCCCCAAGTTCTAAACCAGCCTGAGCAAAATAATGAGGCCCTATCACAAAGAAAAAACACACACACAAAAAGGATAGGATTAGCGCTCATGAGTACTGTATATACTGTATTTAAAAGCTTATGAAAACCCTTTTCCGGAACCCTTTCCCAAAGAGACTCATTGAATGGATCTGGACTGCCTCCGCATCCATAGTTCTAAAGTAGTTTTTATTTTATTGTTTTTATTTTATGTGTATGAGTGTATTGCCTGCATGTATGAAAGTGCACCTGTGTCGTGTAGTGCCCTCGGAGGAGTGTTGTGTCCCCCGGAACTGGAGTTAGCCGCCTTTTGGATGCTGGGAATGGAACCCGGGTCCTCTGCAAGAGCAGCCATCTTAACCGCTGAGCCATCTCTCCAGGCCCAGCATCCATAGTTCTAAAATCTCCTCAGGTGCATGGACTACAGCCAGATTTTTAAATCCTTACATTAGATTTCTTTGAGAAATAGTGTCAGAAACTGACAGAATCAAACTTCCAAATATCATGACCATTTTAGGGCAAGGTAACAAAAATGGCAAAATGTCTTCTGTTGGATGATTTCATGGTATTAAAATGAGGAAATCTGAGACCTTCAGCAGCTTACCAGGAAGCAAAGTTAGTGATCTATAAAGAAGTAACCCTCTCAGGGCCTTGGTGATCAGTCAGCAGGTGAGGGAGCTTGCCACTAAGCAGGATGGCCTGAGTTCAATCCCCAGGACCCACATGGTGGAAAGAGAGAACCAACTCCTCTGCCCTTCACCCACACACTGGCATGCACAAGCATGCACGCGCGTGTGCACACACACACACACACAAATGAGTAAATGTTTCTTAAATATGAACTGATCCTCCCAGATAAATGTGATTGGGTCTTAAAATCAGTTACAGAAATATTGGAAGCACAGGATGTAGGAAATGGAATGTGTGGGTCGCATTGCAACATTCTCTGCAGCACTTCAGGAAACTGAACTTGGAATGGACTTTACAGTCCCAGCTCTCATGAGAATAAAGTCTTGCAAACAGCAAAATCTCACATTTGTGCGGTGGCCACATGGAATGCTTGCCGTGGTAACATTTGCCCTAAGAAAGCTCATTAGTAAAATTTCTCTGCTTGTTTATTGGTAAATTCATCAAAATCAATTCTGTGCCATCAAAATTATCCACACTATAAACCCATAAGCTAGAATATGTTAACCAATAATATTATAATATTATTGGTTAAATAACCTTGTCTAACAATAGTCGGTTAAAAATAATGTGTCATAAAAGACTGGAGAGAAAGGGGAAGGGAAGTGGGAGAAGGGAGCATCTGAGCAAACTTAATTTCCAAAGCAAGGGGAGTTGTGCCCCAGACCAACAGTAACACCGTGTAGGGTTGTGTTATTTCCTTCCTTGTTCTGCTTATTATCTATTCCGTTTAAGCAAAATTGAGAGTTTTAAGTGGCTCATGTTCTAAGATCCCACTCTTCCATATTCTGTCAGTCTTTACTGATAAGTTAGAACTGGACAATGAGATGTGATCAGTGGTCATTTCTGGGTAGTGAAACTGAGTTTTAAATTTCTTCTCTGTTCTTTTTGGCCATGTTTCTGTATTAACTACGAAGAGGGGGAAGTATAGAGGGGAGAAAGCAAAGAGTAATGGGAAACAGCTTCCGTGGAAGGAAAGGGGACTATTTGTAGAATGTGGAGGACCAGCAGGAGGGGCTGATAGATGATAGATAGATGATAGACAGACAGACAGATAGATAGATAGATAGATAGATAGATAGATAGATAGATGATAGTTAATAGATGATAGATAGGTGATAGATAGATAATGATATATACATAGAGAGATGATAAATACATATATTTCAGATAGATTATAGATAGATAGTGAGATAGAAAGATAGTAGATAGATAGATAGATAGATAGATAGATAGATAGATGATAGATAAATTATCAACAGATAGAAGACAGACAGATTATGAAACCCATTACTTTGTATACTAACCTAAAAGTAAAGGAAAATTTTAAAAGAAAAATGTTCTTAGTTTCTTGTTTAAAGTTAAGCCAGTAATGTGTGTGTGTGTGTGTGTGTGTGTGTGTGTGTGTGTGTATACAGGCATGTACCTGTAGAGGACAGGGGCTTGCCAACTAGACTCAGCTGGCTGACCAGTGCCCCTGGGATCCACTGGTTTCTCCCCTCTATCTGGGCCTGCCACCACACCCAGCATTTTTGTTAATGTTGGTTCTGGGGCTCAAGCTCAGGTCCTTATACCGGCATGAGAAATATTTTACCAAACAAGTCATCTCCCCAGCCTTTGAAATAATTTCTATAAAATTAAATAACTTTCACAATTCACATTATTTAAATTGTTATACATGAGTTAAAACTTACCAATATCAGGGCTGGAGAGATGGTCAGCAGTTAAGCGCACTGGCTCCTCTTGCAGAGGACCCAGGTTCGATTCCCAGCACCCACATGGCAGCTAACAATCTGTAACTCCAGTTCCAGGGGAATCTGACGCCCTCTTCTGACCTCCACAGGCATTGCAAGGCACAGGTGCACTTACATGTAGCCAATACACTCATACACATAAAATAAAAATAATAAATACAGCCGGGCATGGTGGTGCACATCTTTAATCTCAGCACTCGGGATGCAGAGGCAGGTGGATCCACTGTGAGTTCCAGGCCAGCCTGGTCTACATAGTGAGTTCCAGCTGGGGCTACAGGGAGACCCTGTCTCAAAAAGACCAATAATAATAATAATAATAATAATAATAAATGCAATTTTTTTAAACTTACCAATTTTTTTTGTTACTGTTTCTAGTTTATAGAATTTAGGGTTTCATAAAGTGCAAACACAGAGTCATTGTCCTAATGTCGGGGTCAGGATTCATGACCTCACTGCTCAGTGGCCATGTCTTTGTTACCCCTCTAAGAAAGGGTGATTCTGTTTGTGATGACCTCAAAGAGGTTGGCAAAAGGCACAAAAGCAATATTCTGAGTGACTGTCCCTTATTCCCTCATGTCCTATACAGAAATGTACATCTGTCCTTTCTTTGAAATAGTCCACTTGCAAGTCAGCAAGGCACGAGGATGCGACATGGCAGCCTGTCTCTAAGAAGATTGTTAGAATTATAAAATGATGACAGATGAGGAGGTAAATTTCTGAAGGCTTTGAATCTTGTTTTACAGTGTGATATTCTAAAGGTGCTGATTGTGGGCCTTCAGTATCAGGGCTTTAACAGTTTAACCTGAATCTACTAGTAGACTGAACCCCTAACCTTCTAATGAGACCTCCGTTCTTCACTCCATCTCTCTGGGTAGTCACAAATGTAATCATTTGCCACCTGCAGCCCTGCAGTGATGTCCTCTGGTGTTGCTTGCCACTGTGTTACCACAGCCTTCCTTGACACTCCTATTTGAGTAGCAGTCACACCTGGCTTCTGAGCCCCAGGGGTCTGTGCTTACAGCTACCACAGACCCCTGGGCTCCTGGCCTCTTTCCATTATCTAGTGCTCTGTAACAGGCCCAGCAGCTTCAAGTAATGCCACTCTGTCAGATCCTGCATCTAGTGCTGTGTATCAGACCAGCGGCTTCAAGTAGCGCCACTCTGTCAGATCCCGCCGTTACTCGCTGCTACAAAATGGCATTTGTCTTCTCATCTTTCTCATCATCTGATTGTATCACAAGCTTCTATTGTTGGGAGCTGCTAGGTTTTGTCTTTTGTTTCTTCAAGCCTGGTGATGCTAGGGAGGTGTCTACTACTGAGCTGCACCCCCATCCTCTGAAATTACTTTTGAAAGCTGTTTCCTACATTAGAAGAATTCTGGTACATTCAGCTTTTTCCTAGAACTAGTGAATCTAAAGTCTTAAGTTCAGCAGTGGTCTTAGAAAGTTTGCAAGGTCTTCTTTTTTTTTTTTTGGTCTTTTTGAGACAGGGTCTTCCTGTAGCCGCAGCTGTCCTGGAACTCACTATGTAGACGAGGCTGGCCTCGAACTCAGAGAGATCCGCCTGCCTCTGCCTCCCGAGTGCTGGGATTAAAGGCATGCACCACCACGCCTGGCTCTGCAAGGTCTTCTTAAAGCATTTAACCCTAATCATAGCTCTCCCTCTTTTTGCTTTCTTCATCACAAAATGACTCAAGTTTTCAGAATTGGCTGTTTTTCGATAAGAAAGAAAAACTAATTTGCAGTAAAGAGGAACAGAGGTACTTTGTCAGCCCCCTGTGAGCATAACTCATACTACTAAAAGTCACTAAAAATTAGCTTACTGGAAAGGTGGCTTGAATTATAAGAATAAATCTCAAGAAAATTAAAACCTTGGGGCTACAGAGATGACTCAGTGGTAAGGGTGTGTACTGCTCTTGTGGGGAAGGGCTGAATTCAGTTCCCAACACCCAAGTCAAGTAGCTCACAACCACCTGTAACTCCAGTTCCACGAGATCTAGTGCCCTCCTCCGAGGGCACCTGCACATAGACATAACCCCACACAGACATACACATATACACACAATTTTTTAACATTTTTTATTATTTTTATTTTATGTGTACGCACATATTGCCTGCGTGTAGGTAAGTGTTGTGCAATGCCAGGTCAGAAGAGGCCGACAGATCCCCTGGAACTGGAGTTATGGACAGTTGTTAGCTGCCATGTGGGTGCTGGGATTCGAACCCGGGTCTTCTGAAAGAACGACCAGTGTTCTTAACCGCTGAGCCATCTCTCCAGCCCCCACACATAATTTTTTTTTTAAAGATCCTTTTTTGGTTCATAAGCATGATGATTGGGTATTCATGCTGCTCTGCAGCACTGCCTCCCACAAACCTTGTTACAGGATTAGCACATTCTCCATCTGACATGAAGAAAAGGAAAAAGAAGAGAAAGAAAGAAATCTTTAAGAAAAAAGAAATATCTTTAAAGATTCAAATGCTTGGTAGGAGAGAATGTGTGTGACAAAAAGTGAGTTTTCTGAATGACTAACAGGAACACATATCATTTGCGTGATACTAGTTTTAGCAAATGATGGATGTTCATTTTCTGAATTCTGTTTCTGTGTAGCTGATGGTGTGTGTGTGTGTGTGTGTGTGTGTGTGTGTGTGTATGTATGTGTGCGCACGTTGTGTGTGTGTGTGTGTGTGTGTGTGTGTGTATGTGTGTATGTATGTGTGCGCACGTGTGTGTGTATGTATGTGTGTTCCCCAAAGAAATTGTTGGGTGAGGCATAGTGGCGCACACCTTTAATCCCGGCATTCAAGAAGCAGAGGCAGGTGGACCTCTGAGCTCGAGGTCAGCCTGTCCACATAATGAGCTCCAAGCCAACTAGGCTGCATGAGATCCTGCCTCAAAAAAGCCTAAAAGAAACTTGGAATATGTCCAATTTCTCTTACATGTCCTCTCCCTAAAACCTAAGAAAAGCTATATGGTATTTAAAATATAATTTGCTATGTTGTTATGGAAACTAATTTTTAAAAAAGAAAATGAGGAAAAGGTAAGTCTCCAGCCAGAAACCAACTAAGAAAATCACTCTGTGAAGAGAATTATGAACAAGTTAGATATAGATCCTCTGAAGCAAATTATGAATCAGAAATCAAGGAATGACCATCAAGCCAAAAAATTATAATATTGGGAAACATGACCATTTTTTACGTATGTCAACATTGAGACTTCAGCTACTAAAAGAATGGGACTGGTTTCTGCTTTTTCAACTTCATGAATTTATCAATTACGATTTAAAAAATTTTTTTGACCTTTTTTTTTTTGAAACAGAATTTCCCTGTAGCCCCAGCTGGCCTGGAAGTCACGATATAGACCAGACTGGCCTGGAACTCACAGAGATCCACCCGCCTCTGCGGCCCAAGTGCTGGGATTAAAGAGGTGCACCACCACACCCAGCTAAAAAACTTACTTTATGTCAAGGTGAGAAAGTCACAGAACCATCAGACTGGATAGTCAGCACTTCATCAATTTCTTCTGTCTCATTTTTAGGTCTCACCTTGGGTGAGAACTCACAGTGGTTCTATGTAAAGATGGGTCAATGATGCCTTTCTGTGCACACTGAAGGCTGGTTGTTTTTTGTTTGTTTGTTTGTTTTCTTCTGCAAATTTTTAGTAAGGACGCAATGCCAAATACAGCAGGCACTATCCTAAAGGGATTTCCAAAATACAGACCACAGGGGGTGGACAGACATTGCGTGACTGTGATTGCTAGGCATCCGTAGGTCGTGTGTGCCGTGTCTGGTGCCATTGCATGGTCTAACTTGAGATGCTCATGATGCAGTCACCACCACCATTCTGTTCTACAGAAGGAAGCTCACTGAAAGGTCAGTGGCTTCAGGAAGTCACACAGCTGCTCAAGGAGGAGCGAGATGCTCTGGTATCATGGGGAGGGGTTCCCATCAAGGCAGGCAAGAAAAGTCTCCCAGAGAACACAGCCTTTGAACTCTGTCCTTAAAGTCATCCTCCTGAAGAGGGAGTCCCAGTGAGTAGGAACAAAATATGCCAGTGCATAGAAAAACAGCGTGACCCTCTTAAGAAATTAGTAGTCCTATGTCACTGGAGCACAGAACGAGAAGAGGGAGTCAGAGGAATTACATCACTTGGGTCAAATTTTGCATAGCCTGGTCTGGAGTTTTTATCTTTATTGTGAAAACGAGGAAAAACTGGTGAAAACGTTTCGGGAATGCTGTTCACAGGGGCTCTGGGGTAAGTAAGGGCAGATAGTCCCCATGAAAATGAAGGGTCAGAGTGAAGGCTGAAGTGTGTGAGACATGGGGCAGATGGGAGAGATTGAGGCTAAGAGTGTGATGTAGGTGGTTTTCAGGTGTGAGGAGGAGGTTTGAGACTCCTGGCCTGATGATTCAGCTGAGTAGGAGGTGTCACCCATGTGAGATGGGAGCCGGGAGCTAAAGTGAAGAAAACTATGAGGTGCTGAACTAAGGGTGAAGGGCGGGGAGGGGCAGAGAGGAGGGGGGCTTTATAAGGTGAGGTCCTGGTCTTAATATGGATAATGGGGGACGTGTGTTGGTCTTGTTACCTTTCATAGCTTGCAGATACATTACATATATTCTCCAGTATGGGCAATAAAGTATATAATAAGTTTAATAAGTAAGGGACTGGACATGGTGGTACATGCCTTTAATCCCAGCACTGGGGAGGTAGAGGTGGGCAGATCTGTGTGAGAACCAGGCCAGCCTGGGAGACTGTCTCAGAATAAACCCCCAAAAACAAACAAAAGTAACATTTATTAAAATTGCTATTGAAAACATACCCTTGAGATTTTGAGCAATAGTGCCCACACTCCTTCTGTATGTATTAGGGATATATATATATATATGTCACTGAACTGAAGATCTCTTGACTTAACATAGTTCTACTCCACACATTAAAAATGAGGGGGAAGAAAAAACTGAGCTCTCTGGTCAGCATAAGGATTTTCGTCTGTCACTGTGTGGTATTCATTATGTCTTAGCTTAGTTTCTGTAGCTTCTGTAAATAGAAGAAGAGAATTGACTATCTGAAATGCATGGAAATTTGCCTTTTAAATTGCTTATGGTTATTATAGGTATTTCTTCCCCATGTTACATTTCTACCAAATAGAAAACATTTTGTTTGGATTGAGTTTTCCTTCAGTCTGGAGGTAGGGTGACTTATCATTTCAAATGTGATAGTTAAAGGATGGTTAAGGAAGTCCTCAGTGAGAGGTTGACATTGAGTACTTTCAGCAGGGAGGGCCTTGGCTGCTCAAGAGCTAAGCTTAGCTGGAAATAGAGGCCCAGTAAGGATCCCAGCCAATGGCAAGCCTGAGGTGGGCTGTAAGAGATGAGTACGTGCCTCCAGTGGCACAGGCCATTGTTGAAGGCACAGGAACTGACTGAGCAAGTGGGGAGCCAGGTTTTGAGCAGAGGAACAACACTATCAGATGTGTGTATGAAAGATCTCTGCTGTGGAGAACAGATCATCTGGGGACAAAGATGGAATCTGGAAAGCGAGTTCATAAACAATAGAGGCAGGTGGTGACTTGGACCAGGGTGGTCACAGTGCTTAGAGTCTAGACCCATTTTTAAAATAGAGCCCCAGAGAATAGTTTGACAGATTGGCTGTGGGTATTCTAAAGTGAGGTGAATAAACTGGATGAATTCATTAAGTAGGGAACTAGTCGACTTTGTGAAAAAATCAGCAAGTTATTATCTAAAATGTATGAACATGGGAAGGCTAAAGGCTTTCCAGGACAGTATTAAAGGGGAAAAGCAAATGGCAAAAACAGTAGAATGACTGGGAGGTGGTGCACGCCTTTGACCCCAGCACTCAGGAGGCAGAGGCAGGTGTGAGATCAACATCAAACTGGTCTACATAGCAAGTTCCCGGCCAGGTGGGGCTATGGGAAGAAGACCCTGTCTCAAAAAAAAATAAATTATATATTTGATCACATAGTGTAGTTGGGCTAAATGACTCAGTCCAATACTGAAAAGTATTCTAAAGCTGTAGTAACTAAGACAGCATGGCCTCAGTCAGGAATAAACAAATCAAATAGAGACACAGAGTGTACAGAGAGATCCAGACACAGTCACATGACAAAGGTGGCATTGCAGAGCACTAAGGAAAGATGGTTGTTTATAAAAATACCTTGTACTATTCATATATCCTTGTCTGTCTGATCATAGCCACCCACCTCCAACCACACACAAAGCATCAGTTTTAGTGAGGTTGCAAATCAAAAGTAATATAATTTCTAGAATATGGAAAAATACTTTTTGTGGCAATTACAGAAACAGTCCTAAATAGGACAAAAACAGTTATAAGGGAAAGGGCTGGTAATGATAAGCTGGAATAGACTGAAACCAAGCACTTCTCTGTCAGATAAAGGCCATCATGGATGTAGGGAAAAAAAAAACAGAATTGGGAGAAAATGGTAGTAGCCTAACAAAGCAAGGAATGGAACTGGCAAGATGGCTCAGCATGTGAAGGTACTTGCTGCTAAGCCTGATGACCTGAGTTCAATCCAGAGACCCACACGGTGGATCTGACACCCTCTTCTGGATTTTGCCGGCTTTTTGGGACTCAGGTGCACTTACTTACATGTAAACAAAACACTTATACACATAAAAGTTATTAATTAAAAAAAAATAATTCATACGCACAGTGTCGAGCGCACTCAATTCTCACAGCTTCTAATGAGGATAGCAATTTGAATCAGAATTCAAGCATACCCACATTCATTCACTGTCTTGGGTGGAGAGCATAGTGGGGTCCCCAGGGATCAGGGTCAGGTGTTCAGGTCACAAGAGCACATGATTTGGTGAGCTTGTTCACGTTATTAACAGTAGCTTTTTGGTGCAAGGTTGAATAAAAGTCATTAGCCCAGATTCTGTCCATACTGTAAGTTATTCAGTGGTGGAAGGAGAGAGCCAATTCCTGCAAGTTGTCCTCTGACCTCCAGATGTCCGGTATGGCACATACACACAAAATAAAAAAAATAAAAATAAAGTAAAAGAGACTGCCTTTAAAAAGGAAAAAATAGCCGGGCATGGTTGTGCATGCCTTCGATCCCAGCACTCAGTAGTCAGAGGCATGGGGATCTCTGTGAGTTTGAGGCCAGCCTGGTCTACGTAACTGAGTTCCAAGCCAGTTGGGGCTACAGGGAGACCCCATCTCAAAAAGACCAAGTAAAAAAGGGGGCTGGAGAGATGGCTCAGCGGTTGAGAGCACTGACTGCTCCTGTAGAGGACCCAGATTCGATTCCCAGCACCCATATGGCAACTACGAACCGTCCTTAACTCCAGTTCCAGGGAAATCCAAAGCCCTCTTCTGACCTCCTCGGCATTGCACGACACGGATGTATTCACATACATGCAGGCAATAT